TGTGTGTGTGTGTGTGTGTGTGTGTGTGTGTGTGTGTGTGTGTGTGTCTGTTGCTCATTCTCTCTGTCCATCTATTTCAAGTGTATTTTATTGTTGCAAAATATAAACAGCAGGGAAAATTGGCAAATTTTAAGTGTTCTAGATAAACTGTACATTTTCCGGTTGTATGCTATGCATAGACACCAACAGATAACAAGAGATAAGAAAAAATGGGAGAGAGAGAGAGAGAGCGAACGAGTCAATGCATTATTGTGAAGAAAGATCAACGCAAGCTACTTTATTCATTGAAATTTTCAATTTTATCTCATTCAGTGAAAATAATTAATAAATGATCCTACTAAAACATGGAAAAGCACGCCTTTGAGCGATCACATTTTGAATATTCTTCGACGAATTCAAATGAGCAGCAGCAGCAGTAACGTACCATTTACATTCTATGTGGTTTTGCAAGTAATTTAAATTCATGTTTTTATGATGCGTTTTTCATATTCGTCGTGGACTGTATGCAAAAATGTTGCTCTCGTGTGTAGAGCAAAGCCCAAGGTGATACTTCAAACGCTCAATAATAACATTAATTAATCTAATAATAAACTCTCTGTGAAACAAACACATACACAGAGGGAGGAAGAGAGAGAGAGAGAGAGAGAGAGAGAGAGAGAGCGAAAAAAATAGAGCAGAATCAACAGAGAATGTAATTGAGTTGTTCGTGTAATTTTTTGTTTTAATCCACCGGTTGATTTCACAGTGGACGTATGACAATAAGCGCTGTTCAGAATGTTGCCGAAAAAAGGAGAAGCAGCAAAGATAGAGAAGAAAAAAATCGTAAATCCAATGAGGTGGTAAGAGCATGCAAAGTCATCCGTGCCTGCATGTCGCTTTCGCTAAAGAGTGTAATAGAAAATTCATTGTTTTGCTGTTTTATGGGCAAAGTTGCAACAAGCCAATTTGCAATGGAAAGCAACCAAAAGCTGTTCGGGGGTTTAAAACGCTTTCATCTCGGAGATATGCGTGGGAAAATGTGAACGTGTATAAAATCCATTTCATTTTTTTTTCGGTCGGAGTCCCACGATGACTGATCCAGTGACGCTCGCTCGGTTGGCATGCGTGCGGCATTGTTATGCATTTGTCCCATTTGGAACAACCGCTGAATCACAATCTGTTAGGAAAACGAGCTTTATGCAAGTCATCAGCTCCATCATGATTCCCTGATTGAGATTAACATTACCCGTGTTGCTTATCAATTTACAAGACAATTTTGCCAATTCTGTTCTGTGCATATTTCATGTATTTTTCTTTATTTTTTTTTTCGCTTCAAACGAAAAATATTCCTCAAACGGTAATGAAATCAGGGATAATATTGGGAATCCTAAATGCCACATATCCGTCATTCTTCTTCTCCTTCTGCATTTTGAAATGGCATCGAGTCACTTTTCACAAGCATATCGCTTTTTTTGTTCAGTTAGAAATGTACGAAACTTTATACAGACATTCTATCACATTGTGATAGATTCTCACTTTGCTAAATACCAAAGTGTGCATATGCGAATTGCATGCATCTCTCAATTTCCAAGAAGAAGTCGAAGAAAAAAAATCACAAGAAGAGGGAAAAACTAGCACCTGAGAGCTTTTATCCAGAATTCATTTCCCTCATAAATGTAATCACCCACATTGTATCATTGCCAGATTTTTGTGTAATTCCGTAGAAAAGATTTAGTTAGTTTGTTCGGAAATTCGACAGTTGAGTGACAGCACATAATGTTGTGCAGTATTCCGGATAGGAATTGTTCCCACAAGAAAATGTAGAGCATATGTTTCTCACTCATGTTACTGTTTACAACTGCTTTCATGTTCATGTCTCAATATTCAAATTTTTAAATTCTCAAATGAGTTTGTGGTTTTTAAAATATTCAAGGATCGTACAGTCCACAATGAATTCGGAAAATCACTTAAAGTACCGGTAAACCATTTCTAATATGCCAAATGTGTGTGCAAACAATAAATGCTAGGCTGTATTGATGGCATTTGGGTCGATTCGAAGAACATGAGAGCTAGTTGTTTGCATCATACACGGTTTTGTTCCGTTATTATTCCTGTTCATTTTTATCTAATCAAACGAGAGGGGAGATTGACGAATGGAATCAATACTTGTTTTATATTTCAAGCAACAACCTCCGCCAAATGGTGTATACTCGTGTGCAGATGTATAAATCATGCGGAAGTGTATCGAATGACCCAATTCAAAATAACAAAAGTTACCAGCTAAATTTGTCATGAAGAACTTCATCTCTTTACCCTATCCTCACTCACCCTCCCTCTATCAGACAAATTATCGAAACAACAGTTAAAACTATGTATTTGCCTTTGATACAAACGCTCTCATATGCTATTTACGTTAATTGTTATGCACGTGAGATTTTTTGCTTTGCTTTGTTTGTGTTTTTCTCTTTCGTTGTGCACTTTAATTATGATAACGCACGTGGATGGAAGATCGTGGAAATCCCACTTTTCAATCTGTTTTACACATTTCGAATGTGACGTGCGAATCGTCTATGGCCGTACGCATTGGGGGCCGTCGAAGCACATACGTGTATTTGCGATGAAGAAAAATGTCTCTGGATATACATATGTAAATCAGAAATGGTCTTTTCCGATGTCACAAGATGGCATGTGTGTGTGTGTGTGTGTTTGTGTGTTGATCGGTGAAGAGTTTGAATTTCATACAAAATATTTCATTAAGACATGCGATTAGATTTCAATAGATAGAGAAAAGCATCGAAAAAAAAACACAAAAACATTCCCAGCATTGCATTGTGAAGTTTATTTTTGAAAATGACTGTAGGAAAATTTTTTTTGGTGAAAAACGAAAATAAATGGCGAAAATATGGTCTCAATTCGGCGATTTAGTTCTAACACGTTCGCCACTTTTCACTGGAAGTAAAAAGCATTTCCATTTGCTTTTAATTAATGCAGAGTAAAGTGCTTGTTTATTCTCGGACTCGGTTTGTACGTAGTACATACTGTATGTGTACATGGTGAATATGTTATTTGAAAGGAGCGAATACTTGTGTTACTCGACGGCAGTGGTTACGTTTTATATGTGCTTGCCTCAACACGAGGGTGGAATTAACACTGAAATCCTTTGAGAGTTCTTCGATTACCATTATTCAGTCGGTGTCATGTGCGCCGCACTCTTTTTTACGTTTCTTTCGTTTTTTTTTTATCCTTCTTGCGCCGCAAAAATGGAATACATGTGTTTGATCGTTTGCGGAATTTGAAGCAAGAATTAGCAAATGTGCCAGGTGTAACAAGTTGGAAATGTATGGTATTTATATATATATAAAAATGTTGAATGCGTGGTACTGTTAACCGGCCCCATAGTCTTGAATTACTCAAATTAATAATTATTTAATTAATTTCCCTCCATTAAATATTCTTGTTTATATCAAATAGAGATAAGAAAAGTGCTCACAAAATATTGACTAAACGGCTAAGTGTGTTGTATGTGCGTGCTTGGCTGACATTGTTTGCAGAAATTAGCTTACAAATATTTCGAATTCACATTCTTCTTCGGTATTATCAACGTTATTCAATTAATTTCTATCCCACATTGGAATCTGCGCTAGCGAGAAGTGCACAACAGATTCAAGGCTTGCGAGAGATGTTGACTCCTCCTCCCTTGCTCACTTGTATGCGTGTGCATTTGCTTAAAACCGAAAATTTACAGTTTCGCTGATATATTTATGACTAATGGCTTTCGATCGTATCGATAATCTTAAGACCCCATGCATAATTATTCATGTGTCAAGCATTGTTTTCTCGAAGGTGTTATATACTTGATGGTGATGGTGGTCATTTGATATGAGCACACGGTGGATTGTGTAGCAGCAAACAAAACTGTAATTAGACACTACTCAAAAAAGACGACACGAGCTTGATGTGACAACACTTTGACTCATTCTAAAAGATTCTTTAGGTAATTAATCAGAATGGAAGCGGTGTGTTGGCGACCAACGTACGAAAATGAGAACGAGAACCGCTGTGTGTGTGTGTGTATGTTTGTGTCCGTTTCAATGGAATCGCTACTTTTAGAGTGTCAAATTTGGAAAAGTCAAATGTCATCAGGTTTTTCTCCCACCTCTTTTCAAATACCGTTAGAAAATGCATCATTTGCTGACATCGAGTTCTTTTCATAAATTAAATTTAAACCAGAATCTTGAATCGATTTCGAATATGTTCAATAAAACTTTAAATATGGCACACCAAATCCAAATTTTAGTTTCTATTTCAAAGGCGCTCCTTTTTCATTCTCATCGATTCACATCCCAAATAATTGATGGATACTTTTTCTGTTCACTGTTAGTTCGGATCTTTACTTGGATATGCTGTGGTTTTTTTTTAATTGCTGGTTTTGAATATCTTTTGGTCAAGGTATTCGATTAGAGAATAAAAACCATGGTCACTGCGGATATTTAACACATTTTTGCCCGAGTTGCGAATTTTGAGCTGCAATTTGATGCAGAAATAAAACACCTGGACACAAAAATGGGTTAATGAATAAAATCTGTTATTTTAGTTGAAAATTTACTCCATTTCAGAAGCGTCGAAGCAATTCTTCTTGCACACAATGAAAACTTAGCTATTAGAAAATACTTTTTTGCATGATAGTTTAAGAAATGGAAGCGACGCCGAGGTGTAAACTCGAAACAAAGTTAAAGAACAAAATAATAGCTTGAAAATACTCACAAATCCGTTGAAATTGTCCAAAGTCCAAATTTTTTTTTTTTTTTGATTGCACGTCCTTTAGTATCACAACGTGTGATTTTGCACCGAACCTTTTTTGGTTTTATAATCTGAACGTATTCCACTGAATTGATGAGTTGCAAAAAATTCGACAATTAACACCCGTTTCAATATTTGCAATGAAAATGCGATGCGATCGAAAACTAGATGCGGTTCAAAATTCAAACAGGAGTTTGCTATTTTAATTCGAAAACCTGTTGAAATTGTTTTTTTTTTTAATCCACTCGTTGAAAAATGAAATTTTGATCGATTTCGTATGGTTTATTTGTGTGTAGGTGCAGAGAGAAGCAGGATTAACTGCTTGTTCTCGCTCTCCGATCCGAAAGTCTCTTGATGGTGTTTCTTGAATCGTGGCAAATTGTTGAATGAACTGTTGCCTGCCACAAGTATGCTTTTATGTTGGTCCGTTGTTCGCAAGCTCAACGGCTGGCTGGCTGGTATCATTTGTTGCTAGGACCTTCGCGCATTCACTGCTCACTGGATGAAAGCGAAAAGCATGTACACATTCACTTGTTACACACTACATCCGATACACTCCGTATCGGTGTACTTCCCTTTTTTTCACATTGCATGGAATGGCTCCAATTATTTGCTTGGTTGATTGACGAAATCAAGTGGATGTGTGGTTTTGTTTTTCATTCACACTCGCTTTCTCTCTCTCTCTCTCTCTCTGTTTTTGTTCATAACAAATTTTTCTTTCCGTGGTGACGTCTGATGGAACACGGCGGCGACCATTCAACAGCATTGAAAACGGCACTATGCTTTGTGGCTGTACTTATTTTTGCACATTACGCGCATGATTTTAACGGTTTATTAATGACGTTCGGGGTGTTTCTCTTTCTTCCATGCCATTTCGTTTTGCGTAGGATAGCGATCAACAATGGTTGTTTGTCTATGGATGAAAGTCGAATTGCTTAAGCCACAATTGTGTTTGTGGAAATACTGTTTTTCTCTCCTTTTATTCACTGTCATTCGCAGAAAAGTTAATTATTATATGGCCACATGACTATGATTGCTGTTCGCAATTCAAGGGTTTTTTTTAAATTGAGCATCCAATCATATTGTTGCGCTTTGCAACAATATTGACACTTTTCCCACTTGGGCATTGCGTTTCTATTTACCATTCATGGTGTTTAAATGAAAATCAACCATAAAAGCTGATTTCATTTCCAAGAAGTTGCGCGTGTTAATGCAATAAAAGCCATTTTTATCGTAATCGTCTAATGGTGAAATTGATTTGGAATATTTCCACATGAATGACGGTATGAATCACAGTCGAATTGCAATGTGCATTTCCACTTTCAATGCATGTCAATTAAAATTAACAAATTTTTCATGCGAATATCTTCGTATTTTTTCAAGATCATACCATCCATGAATACAATCAATCATTTCATGAGCAAATATGAATCGAAGGATTTTCCTACGAACCGATTTGAATGAAACAATATTTTTTCGTTCTACTTCAATTCATTCTGGGAATCGAGAAACGTTCATTCGATGTACGTAAATAAAATCGTCTCGAATTGACGTAGTAACGATTCTGCCATTTGAAGCACACATATTTCTTGTAACCGATGACAAAACAAATCGGATTGAAACCGCTCTAACAGATGACGCCACCGATGCCATGCGTCCATTTGAAATGTGCGCTATTTTGACAGCAACTGCTGCCAATCGGCAATCAACACACATGAAGCACAAGGAATCTAAGAACCTTTTTCATTTGTTTTTGGTCATAGCAGCTCGTGTCCGATTCGTTTAAAGGTAATTTATCGTGGAAAATTAGTGTAATCATAAAAAAAATGTTCGTTTCTTTGTCAAATATTTCTAGTAAAATGTATTTGCAATCGTTTTTAATAAATATTTTTCACGATGATCGTATAAAATCTGTGGAAAATTCAAATTGAAAAAAATAGACAACAGATTTGTACCCATTTGTGTACTAAACGATATTTTGCCGCAATACTGTTGTTGCCTGTCAAATAAAAGAGAAGAAAAAAACGAAGGGACGAAGAAGAAAAATTCGAAATTACAATTGGAATTTTTTTCCATGTCATTTGCATAGCATTGCATTTGCGATTCTTTACGTCCAAGAAATTGTTTGAAATGCATTCAGAAAAGAAATTCTATGAAATATTTACTTTCCGACTATGCCGATATCGTAAACATGATTTTTTTTATGAGTGCTCATGGTGATTTTTCAATATATGGAAAAGAACGAAATAACAAACAGCCTTGAACCGATGTATGTGTATATCGCATTTTCTTTTTTCGTCCATTTAAGGTTATGTTGTTTAGAATGAGAATTTAGCATGTTTTTCGACGCAAATACAATTCATTCCCACTCAATTTTTTTCGAATAATTTTAAGCGAATCGGTGATATTGGCATTATTGGTAAATGCGGCATTTTTTTGTCAGGAAATTTTAGAACATTTGTTCTAATTTTTTTTTCGGCGGAAACCGCATGAGTTCGCGGTTTGTCTTATCGCGCATTGCACAAATGTTCAACTGAACCGAATCGCCTAGATATGACTGTACTAAATGAATAACGTTTGTGATAATTTCATGGTTTTTTTTCTTCTCCATTGCAGCCAAATATATATTAAATATATATCAAAATGCCAGAATTGACGGAAATCACAAACGAAACTCCCGCCAAGGTTGAGGAAACTGAAGCACGCATCGAAGACGATGACGATGATGATTCAGACACTACTATTCCTGAATTGGAAGATACAGGTAAATATTGAGAACACGTTGCAACAACGAGAAAACAACGTTGAAAATGAAACCAGCCCAGGTGAAATAGTGAACAAAATGAGTGATATGTGTGCTTTTTTCTTATTAGGAAACACTGCTGCCGCCCTCGGTAAAGAAGAAATCGATCTAGTGTCAAAGGCCAAACAATCACGTGGTGAAAAGAAGGCTCGCAAGATTATGTCGAAATTGGGATTGAAACCAGTGTCAGGCGTTAATCGAGTCACCATTCGTAAATCAAAAAATATCCTCTTCGTCATCAATAGCCCGGATGTGTACAAAAACCCGCATAGCGATACGTACATTGTGTTTGGTGAGGCTAAAATCGAAGATTTATCGCAACAAGCCCAATTGGCTGCTGCTGAAAAATTCAAGGGACCCGAACCAACCGTTGGCACTGCCGATTCATCCGGTACCAATGCAACCGTTGCACCAATCGCCGAAGAAGACGAAGAAGAAGTTGATGAAACTGGCGTTGACGAAAAGGATATCGAATTGGTTATGTCACAGGCAAATGTTGCCCGAGCAAGAGCTATTCGCGCCCTCAAGAACAACAGCAACGATATTGTAAATGCGATTATGGAACTTACAATGTAATTTAATTAAGCATGAACAGCATACACAAGAGAAAAAGAAAAATACAAACACACACACATAAAAATGAATCACAGAAAAAACGTTGATTACAAAAAAAAATTTAACACGTTTCTCGTTTGTTTTACTACGTGCTTCGTTTGGTCTAATGAAACAAAGAAAATTTTATGACACAACGACACACACACACACTAGAAATCCAACAGGAAATCGATGAAAAACAAATAAACTAAAGCATTAAAACCAAAACTCACAAATCTCATTTCAATGTACTTTTTTTCTTTTTTCTTTACTCTTTTTTCTTTGTTATCATTTTCATGACTAAACAAAACCGTTTCTTACTATTTTGAGCCAAAAAAATTTTTCGTTTGATTTCGGAACATAAAGGATATATGTTGTATTAATGCGGCTTTTGATACAAAATAAAATCATTTCAGTGCGACAAAAAGAAAACATCAAATAGACAAACAAAAACTAATATTCATAACTAAATAAAGGGCATTTTTGTTTCAAAAGGAATAAATTACAAAGTATTCTTTGTTTCAATTAATTTTTTTTATTGATTTGATTCTTTACAACGTAAAACACGTTTTCAATCATAGAATACATAAGTATCGTTCATTTTTGTTGCGCATTAAATAGCGGCATATTTGGTTTGTTAACAAAAAAAGAAGAAGAAGAAGAAGGAAAATAATACTATGAGAAAAAACAATGCGGCTCCATTGCCAAAAGTTTAGCTAAAGTAATAAATGATTTGTCCCTGTGTTCAGGATAAGTAAATCGTTATTCGATAATTGATCGATGGATGAATCATGTCGTGAAAGAGATCGTGAAATGATTGCAGCTTTGGCCTAAGCAAAGCGTTGGTTCAACGAAATGTCGGTTTTGTGCGATGGAACTTTGACCATGCCGCGTAGCCCTGGGCCATCATTACTGATGACAAAGGCACCTGGACAAGCATAGTACAATTCCTTGCCCTGAGATAGAGAGGGAGGGAGGGAAAGAGAGAGAGAGAGAGAAAATCCATGCATTAGTTCTGTACATTTCAATGTTTTCGAAATCGATCCTCTTACCTGTAAGCACGAAATTTCCTTTTGGATTTTCATGTCGTACTTTGGCTCAGCCTCGCGTCCATGGTTGTTGTTGTTGAAGTGGAATTTGTTGGTGATGCCGTTGGTGATGCCGTTGCTGTTGATGTTGATCGCTTTGACGAATGCATTCAGCAACATTTGGCCCTGGTCATCGTTTGACACCAACATATTTGATTCGTCTTTTGCAAACGATTTCAGTGCGTGAAGTGTGATGCGTTGTCGTTCCACGATGGCTGGGTTCACGTATCCCTTGCCCAAACGTTTTTGTACGCTGTTCTTTGCTTTGAACTGGTTTGATCGGTACAACTTCATCTGGCTCGTGTGGATGCTTTCGCAAATTGAACCACGTTCGCCCAACCGCTGATGAATCGGCTTCTTTTTCGGTGGCATTGTCTTTGCCACAAATGGCACCAATTTCGGCATTTCCTTGACGGATCCATCTGGAAAATTAAAAGGAATTTTTTTTCTGAAATTTATTCGGAAATAAATTGATGCATTCATTGAATCACCTTCATCCATTTCTTCGTCGTCTTCGTCTTGGTACTTGTACCGATCAAACTTTGATGGACCAGCGTCGGCTTGACCATGCTGATTGTTGTGGTTGTTGTATGAATGAGCCGGATGCTTGATGTTTTTTGCGTGAATGTATTCATCTTGCATTGCAAACGTAGAAAAAAACAATGTATTAATCAACAATGTAATTCATCGAAAAATGTTCATATCAACAATCGAATATCGAGAGAAAAAAAAATGATGATCCTGCAAAAATCTCATAAACAATCAGAAACTAAGTGGCTACTCTATTGGAATAGAAGGAAAATCATGTTGTCAATTGAACCGAATATACTTACCGAGCGACATGTTTGTTTGCGGCACGCTCTTGTTTGCCCGAATGTAATCATCTGTCGTAGTGCAAAGAAAAAGAACACAATCGAAAAAAAACGTGAAAAATTTCCGACAAACTCGAACCAAATACCCAATTCTAGTTGGAAAAACATGAAAATTCAAGGAATATTTACCCAATGACACGTCCATTTTGATGTTGTTAACGATAGATTGTGCGGCAAAAATTCTTAGAAAACTTTGGTTCTGTCTACATCAATTGTGTTGTTCGGTTTGTCGTGCGAATTTCATCACTGAGCTAAACTCTGGAATGTGTACGCCAAAAATGTACCGTAAAGCATATTCCGTGTATATCATCTGTGTTGATATTCGCACCGACCACCAAACGGACGGTGCATACACAATTCACCGATTCAAATTTTGACACACACCAAAATTTCAACAATGTGAACGGGCCATTGCGTTTTGACAGCGCTCATAGAATTGGGGTTAGAGACCAAGTCGAAATAAAAACTTGATAATCTTTATTTGGAAGTGGAGAAAAAACATAAATTCGGTTTGTATTCAGTGAAAGAAAAAAAAAAATTCTGTGAAATTTTTTTGTAATTCAATGAAAGTGAACTGACCAATTTTTACCCAATCATTTGCAGCTATGAGAATCTTTCAAATGTTGTGTCGCAGCCGAAAGCCACAGAATCCAAACAATGTGCCATTGGCAAAGCCTCGATTGCCTTTCGCATTGCGGGATCGTGTTTGTACCAAGAAAACAAAAGGTGGTTCGGCTCCAGCGCTGCAGGAAATGCAGAATCTAATCACCAAACTCAGTCAAAACGAATACAATCAACAATTTTGCGAGAAGGAAATCGTAGCGATGCGCGATGCAAACACTGCGTCGTACCATCAATTTTTAAGAGAAAAACAAGAGAATCGAGCTGGACACATCAAACCAGGACCACAATTAAATCCAGTACCCCTTAACAAATATCTTAAACGATTCCCAATTGATAAACCAAATCAATTCGAAGCCAAAATCACTGAGCTACCGGCATGGAAACGAAAGTACTGATGATATAATGGGGTTATTGAGTAATGTTACAGAAAAAATTATTAGATAAAAGAACAAGTTTGATTTTTTTAAAACGTAAATGGAACAAAGATGTGAAGTGAGAATAATAACACGAAAAAAGGATGTTCAATAAAACATTTTATTCATAAATTACAAAAAAAAAAACATTGGATTGACATTTAGAGTACTAATTTAAAAAAAAATACATATGTATATACATAGATGTGGTTGCAAACACTTTAATTTCGACATAAAATCATCCACAATAATAAAAATGTGTTGATGTACGGCCCTAGCACCAAATTAAGCATTAATATGTTATATGAAAATGTCGAAATTTTATTATTTTTATGAATGAAAAAAATCAATTCATATGGAAAAGCAAATATGCTGATTTTAGTATGTCGAAAAAAATTATATTGCAATACTTTGATTTCGTTTTTATTTTGGAAAATTTAGTTCGGGTTGATGTTTCCATAAAATTCGTTAGAGTAAAAAAAAAAATTGGAGAGAATTTAATAGAAAAAATTTGGGCAAATAATTTAGGTAACTTGTTGTTTTTCGAATGGAATGATTTTGGCAGTAAATTGTTTGGCTGTTCAACCAGCGAAGAGGTAGATCATAAATTATCTCGTTCTCGAATATATTCGGCTGGTCTCTTGGTAACTTTCAAAATTAAGCGATTAGTTTACTTGCAATGTGTAGCAGGAAAAAATTATGAAATAGAATTAAAAAAAAATAACATGAAATTTTCTTCTTAAATCTAAACAGAATATGAATTTTTCGTCGTCTTGGACTAACATGACTTGGTAACTTTGCAAACACTTTGAAAATTAATATTTTAAATAAATAACTAGAACTACCAGAAAAGAAATAGGTAAAAATAGGGCAATGGATAACATTTGATTTCGTCTTGTTGGTTTTCTCTTAATTTTTTTGTTGAAAATTATTTAAATAATTTGTCTATGGTAACCTAATTGCTTGGCTATCAAAATCGAATTTGATGAACATATGTTGGATGCTTCCAACATTTTGATGGTGAACAATTCGTTAGAAAATCTCCTTTCGGAAGGCAAATCCATATTGATCACATTTAACACTAAGTGTTTTAGATAGCTGAGGTGGCCCACAGTAGAAAACGGTCACTTTGCCTTTTTTCTGCACTTGGATTTGCTTGAACACTTTGTCCCAGTTCGGGCGACCAGCATTTGTGCGCGTTTTCAATCCGGTAATTAAATCACGTTTTTCCTATTGAAACAGACATAAGAATGGATTATTGTTCAGATCAATGATCATTTATTGCATAAAATCTATACTAACTCTCTCATGAAGGAGATCGAGTGCAAGTTGTAGGCCAACGGCTTTCATATCAGTTTTCTGCAGGGCACTTGTGATATACATGTGCATATCCAAAAATCTGCAATGAAATTGATGTAAATAAAGAAGGAAATTTTAAATTGGATTTATTAAGCTACCTCTCCATGGCGCCGCCCAATTCAGCTTGTTCGATCTCCAATTGTGACAGTAGATTGACGAACCATTCAAACGAACGTTGATCGCGATTGATCCAGAAAAAGTCGACCTTGCGCAAATTCATAATACTTTGTGGTATTTCGCTAGACCATTCAAAGTTGCATCGGGGGCAAGTGTGACGAGCCTTCCAATATCGATGCATAATCGATTGCAAGATCGATGCGAATGGTGTTACACCGATTCCAGTCGCAATCAAAACGGCATGCTGAGCACGGAATATGTGACTCGATGGAGCACCATACGGTCCATCAATATAAATCTAATTAACAATTCATTAATTTTTCATAGAACAAGAAGAGAAACGTTCATTAATTTGTTCAAAAAGAAAAAAATTTAAATTATTTGAAAAAAAAAATGTGTGTAGTTGTGTCACTGTATTGTGATGTGAAGGTGTGTCATCGGTATATATCGGTATATATGGCCGATGGTGTATGTTTTCAGAGTGCTAAATATATTATTACAATTAAAATGCTACAACCACAAACAAAAATCATCTACTGTGTTCCAAATATTGAAATAAAAAGGATTATTCAGTGCAAATTACAATTAGGGTGGTCCATTAGTCACAACTATATATGTTATTATTACAATTTTACTTTCTTTAACCATTAAATGGTCGAGAAGATAAAAACTATTACAATTATTATCGAAACCGTTTACCAAACCTCCAATTCACCATTCAGTGCTACTACTTGTGTGTTTACCATACTAACATGTAATTTTGGCAGTTGCTTATTCGACATTTTTGCTGAGAGGGGAGTTTTATAATTAGTCTAGTTTGGTGTAAAAAATGTTTTATTATAATTGGGTTCAAAATTGATTTTTGATTTTTGATTTTTTTTAATTCAATCCAAACCAAGATTTCGCGAAAGGAAGACACAAAAAGAATGAATTGAGATTAAAATTTATTTTTTAGTGCTGTGTGGGTTAAATTAACTAATTTACGGATTTTTAGAAAATATATTATTTTAAATTAAATTACCTCTAATGGTTTACCAACCGGATAATTCATTGGCCGATCATTTTCACCTGTAAATCAGTTTTTAATTTTACATCAATTTTTTTTTCTAATTTCACAAATGCAATTCAAGTCCATTTGGTTTACCAATTTTAGCTGAATTCATAGGTCGCACTACTTTCCCTTCTTCGGCATCATTTTGTGAATAATCTGACAAATAAAGTAAGTTAAATGAAATAAAGTAAACGACAAATTTCAATTTTAGAAAATGAAATCAACTTCGTCATCAAAAATGACTATTTATGACTTACTCATTGAGTTTGGTGATTGATTTTGTTCACAGCTCTCTAGGCTGGGTGTTTTGAAAGCGATAATTGTTGGCTTATTCCGCATGTATCGGAAACTTTGGGCCAATGACCGATTCTGTGGGCTTAAATATGCCAATCCCAATGATTTCAAGCGAGCCTTCTTCATCTGAGTTTCGTCAAACGATCTTTCCGATTCCGAGCGATTATATTCACGAAGAGCCTTTATGCGATCACGTTTTCTCATTCGATTTTCTATGTCGGGCATTGAAAGTGATTTCTCCAATGGTGTCTTGTTCTTGAAACCTAGTTCAGTGCCGCGCCGTTCAGTGCCTAATTTGCGGCTCATTGGAGTCTGGAAATATTCGATTTTAAAAAAATGAAAAATTTTAGTTTTTTTTCGCAGACATTTGAAAATTACCATCCAAACGTACCTTAGTTTCACTATCTGTCTTCAAATCATCGCTTATAAAACCGTCATTGGAATAACCTTGTGTCGCCATATCTTGTGGTTGTGTCCCTTTTCGTGAGAATGTTCGTTGAAGTGTTGCTTGAATCTTTCTAATTGCTGAACTCGTTTCCGACAACTGTCTTTCGATTTTCGTTTCTTGGCCCGGTGCTTTTGTTTCCATAGCCGTTGTCTTTTCGGTGGTTGCATTGTCAGCACTGTTCGCAATGGTTGCAGCATCAAATTTGAATGGATTTTCCTTCTTTTCAATTTCATTTTCCGTAGTAACCGTTGTCGCTTCTTTCGTGGCTGGATGTGTTTTTGCTGTGGCCAGCATCGGTGATTGTCGCATTTGTGATGATAATTGGTTTTTCGCTAAGAAATCCTTTTGTGGTGTACTGGAATAGGATTTTGCTGGTAAAATCTCTTTCTTGGGCGTTGCTTCTGGCTTTTTCTCCATCATGGCTGGCATGATTGGCATCACCTCACCGCTATGCAAACGAGCTTGTTCCTTTTCGAAATAGCAATAGAGACGATTGGTCCATTCGCCAACACCACGAATATGTAGCCACATGTAGTCTTCCTGCTCCGGTGCACTGCTCAATGTAAATGGATGCCACTCGTATTTGGCGATGGCGGGAATATTCACAAACACATAATCGCCTGGTCGGAAGTAAAAATGAGGCGGACGCTTAATAACCAAATGCGTTACTTTCGATGGCAACAGAATTCCAGAGGAAATATACGTCTTCCCATGACCCGTGCGCAGCCAAATGATTCTAAGTGGGAAATTGAGTTAATATTCGAGTTCGCTTTTGGATTTGATTGGATTTTACGGAGAAAATTCAATGAATAAGAACCTACTTCAACGCACGTTCCACCGTATAAATGAACAACGGAATGATGAACCATTTCCAAAAGTTGGGCCCGTGGAACGCCAGCAACACCCAGAATGGAACATAAAGCAAATGTGTCCAGTAGAATATTTCAAAACTGCCGCCACGTCGAACGAACGGTTGTGAGCACAGAAACATAATGATGAGCACGAAAAACAGAGCAATGCCGGTGGGATTTGCACAACCGCCGCACAAACCAAATAAGCCCGGTTTCGTTGTTAACAACCACTCGGCCAAGGTGTAGTGATGACAATTCAGTTTTGGATCGTTCAAAACCACCATAGAGAAATTGATGAGATGCATAATGGTATGCACCAGACTATAGATAGCTATGAGAATTCCGGTCATTTTATGCATATAAATGTGATTGTCCAATGGTAGAATTGTGCTAAATCCACGTGTTCGCAGAAACGTAATGCACTGACGTAACATCAGCACCAGCACAAAGGCGCAATTAAAATTCAAGCATTGACCTAAATTAAGAAGCATAAAATAATGGAAAATCTTGCGATAATTTTCATCGATTTTTCATGAGTGATTTCTTGGCGAGAAAAAGAGGCGAACAATAAATGGAAATAGTGTACATACCGCAGGCACGTGCGATTATTACATAGATGTTGCTTTCGCGATATTGGAAGGCACGTGATGCAAACAGTCCCACATTTATGGCAACAAAAATCGTGAGAAATGATAAGAAAACATAGTTGTTTTTGAGATATGGAGCGGTTAGTTGATGCGGCATACGAGTTTGCATTGATATCTTTTTCGTAGGCTCGATGGGCAGTGGAACCAGCCAACGATCAATGCTACAAATTGTTCGGCGATACAAAATGATTATCATTAAAAATGTCTTATTATTTCTTCATTGCGTTGAAATTGTCATTTGAAAGAAAAAATTTCAAATTTTTCTTCGTAAAAAAAATACCTGATGCTAAGATTCTCCAGCAGTCCACCGTGTTTTTCCAGTTGGTCTTTGAGTGCTTCGTACGTAATCGTACCACGATTATATGGATCGGCATCTTCAAACATTGCCATCGTCAGATCTTCAATCTAAATTAATAGAGAAAACTTGTCTGAATTGATTCGTTGTTTCGTTGCTGTTGTTATTTCTTTCTCTTTTTTTTTTCGTTCAAATCTATAAATTAGACTAATGTAAACGATTCTCGCCCATTAATCAAAGCTCTCTCTGTCGCCATGCATTTATACTTAATGTACGCAAGAAAAAGGCGCACCGACAACCGAGTAAAACGAGACATGGGTGCCGATAATGGCATCGACGCGGCCAACCGACACCAACGGATCGAATCAAGCAGATATTTCAATCTTAATGCCAATGCTCAAAGAGAGCACACTAAATGCGAATAACATTAAAATTATTGATTGCGCAAAATCTGCGACGCTGTTCATTTATCATAATTTTTTTCTTATGCGCTCTCAATCTCTTCCTTTTTCACTCGATTCATTTCCATCTGTTCTGTTTCAGTGTAAGACATAAAAAAAAGCAGTCGTATTTGCAATTCATGTTCTGCTATCACAAATGGCTGATTGAGCGAACAAAATGGACTGAGAGAGCACACATTGCACAAATTACAAATGAAAATCGAATACACAAATATTCGTGTCCATCGACGTTTTCTCTCTCTCTCTCTCTCTCTCTCTCTCTCTCTCTCTCTCTCTTCCTATGTCTTCCTCTCTTCTTGCAATCGTAATTCGATTTGGAAGAGGAAATGGACTGCAGCAGAGCAAACGACTGTGAATAAAATTGCAAAAAATGAAAAAAAGGATAAGTCGGATGGAGAGAGAGAAAGAAAAAAGACGAAGACACCGAAGAAAAACTGAAACACACAAATGAGTAGCGAATGCAGTATAATGAATGTGAACGCGACAAACATACGGATTATCTCAAATCAAGTCGACAGCATGATGGTATTCGTCGGCCAAATGGTGGAAAAAGCCAAAATGAATTTATGCATTTGAATTGAATGCGACAAGTAGTAGATTTATCAATATTATCAAGAGTAGATCGAATGTTCTGATATCCGAATCAATCGCGTTACGGTTTTCTTCCTCTTTGTGATGTGATTTTCACGTTTCGTTCTCTGCAGTTTTTCAAGTTTTTTTTTTCCTTTTCTTTTTGCCATGATCTGCGTGCATAAAAAAACAACAACAAGCAAACCAAAGCGAAGGAGAAAAAAAAAGCCAGCAGTGAAATAGGAAAAAAAGGAACACACCGTTAAAAACAATTCGAATACATATTTCTTTTGAAAGCCTCATGTTATACCTCAAAATACCCTGAATGGCCTTTTGCAATTTTATTAAGTTCTCATTCGGTATAATTTGATTTTGCTTTTTTCCGCTTTGGTCGTGTGTTTGATTAGATGCAGACCGATGCCGAGCGCAGAGATGAAGTAGAGAAAAAAAGCAGAATTGAGTATATCGTAACATGTTTTGATTACATATCTATTTCTATTTTCAACGTTTTTCAGTCGCTCAATTCAAACCATGCAATTTTTTCCCTCATATATTATACATCGGCTGTCTGGCATCAGTTTAACGTTTTTTTTCTTCTCCTACTTCTTCTTCTTCTTCGAAATGCTGTACCATTAAACGTTACAGCAACCGAAGTACCGGCAGTGTACTGCGAGATAGTGAAGATAAAGAGAAAAAAAAACCGTCTACAGTAACAAGAACACACGCGCAAGACAAACGTAAATCGCATAAAAATACTATGTATTCTCTCTCTGTCGTATGAAAGCAGCAAAAAAAAAATGTTCATCATAAAATTATTTCGTACGCACATTCCGGCCGCGAAACGTCGAACACTCTCGACTCTGTTTTCATTTTGTGTGTGTGTGTGTGTTTGTTTCAGTTTTCAGGTGAACGATCACAACCGTGGCACACTCGGTGTGAGTGAGTGAGTGTGTGTCTTTTCTTCACTTCTTGCCCATTCAGAATGTGTTCGCGCACCGCACACAACAGGCGCATTGCATTCCCCGTTGTGACTTCAAAATCACAAGTAAATTATTCCACATTTTTCTTCAGCCAATGTGACCTTTTTTTTCCTATTCTCTATCGTGCAGTGTGGCGATTCAGAACACACCACCATCAATTCAGAGACAGAAATCATAAAAAAGCACAACAACCAAATAGTTTCGTCTATTATCTTAGAATGTTGTTTATGAAAGCAATGCAAGAATTTGTTTGAACAGCATTACCGGTCATACACAGTTTAACCTGCGATTATGGCAGAATGATGAGGAAAAGAATGCATTCTAATGTATCGAATGGCCACGCGCACCGCGTTTAACTCTATCTCTCGTTTTTTTTTTTGTTTTGTTCAAAACTTTCATTCACTCGAATCGGTTGTAATTTCAAATTATTTTTTCAAAATAAATATGACCACTTACCTGGTCTTCGGAGAATTGCATTCCATTTTCTTCCATGCAAGCTCGCATTACGTGCTGCAACTCACGATGTTGAATCAAACCATCACCTGTATTTATGATCGTTTGACGAAAAGAAGAAAAAAACATTATCATTCATCGCATACACAAAATACATATATTGAACGGGGTCTCGTGGCCGACATCGAATTGCAATCAGCATGAGATCAAACATATATCGATATGTATTGCAATTGAATCACTTACCGTCGATATCGTACACCTTGAACAGGAACTTTATCTTATCTTCTGGTGATTGGCCAGCAAATTGATGAATTGCATCGATGAATTCCTGCAGTGATATCGAACCCGAATTGTCTTTGTCGAATATTTGAAAGACTCGATTCGTGAAGAATGGCTATTGAATACAAATGAAATCAATCAGAATCATCATGAAATCAGAATCAGTCATTTGAATGGTACCTAGAGAAGAAAATATTCAAAGAAAATAGAAGAGATTCGCTTACATTTTTCGAGATAACAATTTTCTTAAAGTCTTCACGTCGAATTTCCTCTTCATTGCCAACGGTTTTCCGAAATAGCTGCTCCAGCCGCTCCAATGAGCTCTTATCGAATCCAGTTCGAGGTCTGTACAGAAAAAAGAATCCAAGTAATTGTTTTGTTACAATTTTGTCACATGTAAAGTTGCGGCATTTAATAGAGAACTTTAGAAGCGAATGCAAAACAAAACGGATGCAACTAATCGAATTTTGTTTATTCAGATGAAGCAGTTGTGCTGTATGTGTGAGAGAGAGAGAGAGTTGTACGGCAATTCGGATGGAGAAGCGAGAATTTCAAAGCCAAAACGAAGACAAAAAACCGGAGATAAATAATGCAATAAAAAAGTGATCGTACCACATGCGGTGCATCTAGATCGCTGTAAAATAATTGCGATTGCATACAAATTGTATGAAGTGGCCATTGGTGAAATAGTTGAAAAGACCTGGCCCACGCACAAGCAATAAATACAAATTTCTTGCCGCGCACACGCACACGCACACGCACACGATCACCGTTTGTTGCTCGAATGGTTGCATTTCTCGCTCAGTTCGTTCGAAACTAATCAATAGACACGCATCGAAATAATCCATATTTTTTGTAGCCGTATACATTGTAAGCGAACGGAATAATTGAATGGAATAGACCGGCAAACACGGTAGTATAAAAACGGCAGTACATTCATTTTCGCTGCGCTGCTGAGAAGCGCTGTGCATTTGTGCATGGAAAGGAAAGAAAACCAAACAAAACCTTTTGCACAAGCCGAATTGTCTAGAATGTATTTTGTTTCTAGTCGCCCAGTGTCTGAGACAATTTTCTGGTCACAAATATGAATTATTAGCGAACACAATAAATTGTTCATTTTCCCAACACACACACACACATTGTCTCTCTCGCAGCGAGATGAAACGAAACGAAAATTTACAAAACGCATACTCCACCTCGAACGAAAAAAAGTGGCAAATAATTTAAAGTAAGTAATTTAAAGTTCAATCCATAACATTGGGCATGGTGCATAGGAGAGAAAGCCCCGAAGTGTTTGCAGCATTTCATTCTACATGTTCACAAGAACATAGCGAGCAACCGATGTACCGATCGCCGACGGACTATTCATTAATATTGATTGGATTTGTAATTAACGTTCTGTATCGCCATTTTCCCCGCCGAGATGTGAAATAAAATTGAACGAAATGGATAATAAATTGCTTGTCGTGTCTTGTTAATTTTGGCAGGTACACTCTGGCAAAAGATCTTGGAATCGAAACGACGAAATAAACATATTATATACACACATATTTTGCGTGCACATCCAGACATAAATCAGTTTACCGACCACACTGAGTTGAGACGATATACATACACACTTTAAAATCGCCCCGATTTTTTTTTCGCTGCTCTCTCTCTCAAATCAATCGAAAGCCAAGATGCCAATGAAAAACATGCAAATTATATGTACACATTTTTGAACTGATGCAACACAAGAACATGTGAAACCGGAAATTTTCTAGATAGTTTTTTTCGTCGTTGACGTTGTTGTTGTTGTTGCAGCATGTCGATTTCATGTTCAATTTTGGACTTTGAATTTTTCAACGCTGCCTTTTTTCAACAACAAAAAAAGCATACGCATGTGTGTGTGTGTGTTTGCATATCGTTAAGAACTAATAACCAAATCAATTAACCAATCAGTTTATGCATAGGTGTTGCAGCACCAATCAACCAGTTTGATAATAATCAACTTACCGGGCATTTGTAAGATTTGATAAAAATTCCATAATTTGATTAGTTGAAACGATATTATTCACTTCCGAGTCAATCAAACGGTAGAGTTTTTCGGAAATCTACAAGGAAGAATAGATTAAAAAAAAAGAAAAAGATGACATTTGAAAAAGTGTCTAGAAAAAAAGTCATTTAAAAATGGCAAATTTGCCGACGGGTTAGACTTTTAAAACAAATCGTGTTAGTTTTGTCATTGACTTATTCAGTCAACATCTGGAAATGTTTCATTCCAATGTGTGCAGAACAACACAGAAGTTAATTCATTTAAAATCGATCCATCTACTCAATCAAAGCATGCATTTGCATAAAAGGAATATTGAGTTGATGGTGAGCACAGTAGAACGTGCAGAAAAAAATAGCGCGCAGCACTTACGCCTCTAGCATTCCATATGCTAATGAATTTTTCAAATGTAATGCTGCCTTCGCCGCACAGTACATAAGCAACCGACTCCAACTGTTCAGCAAAATCAATCTCTTTTTCGTCTCTGCGATAAGAATTGGTTCCAAGTGGCGTGGAGATTGTATCGAAGCAAACAATGCAAGAGAAGGAGAAATAAAAAGGAAAAATTGCATTAAATGGATAACGAGAAAAATTGATGAAAAATGTGCAAGTACTTTGGTGTAGCGCATACTTACGTTAAACGTCCCTTGAGATGTTCAATCCATTTATCTTGTGGCAAATGCCCACAGTCCTCTACATCGAATAATTTGAAAAAGTTCAACAAAAATGGCTGTGAATGAAACAAAAAAAAGCAAAACAAAATAAGAAGCAAAAACTAAGACGGGCAAAGAATTAATTGAAAGTATAACTATAATTCGAAGTAAAAACTAGTGAAAATCCCACGAAGATGAGACATTATCGGTTTATCGATTATTCATTATTCAATTTGATATTTTGAAGTCAATGAGCAAGTGTTGCAGTCGACGCACTCAACGTTTGAAATCACAATCTGGTTCAATCAACGCGATTTTCACACGATGCTCCTGCGTGCACAAAAAAAAACCGATTCAAGTGAGAGATAGAGAAAAAGATGGCATTGATTGATAAATGGCCAAAATTAGAACCGAAAAATAAAGCAAATGGAAAAAATGATGGCATCGGTGTGACTTTGAGTGAGGTGTTAGATGGCCATAATTTGATGCAAAACTTTATACAGTCGTTTGCCGCGCGCATTCAGTGCTTTTTTTTAAAATCACATCTGGGCAGGGGAAAAAACGATGATTGCTTCTACATCGTTAGCATTTATGAAGACGCGCCACAAGAAGACAGGAATCAAAACAGATGCTGTGCAACTTTTGACGGATCATTCCCTTTCTCTCTCTCTCTCTCTCTTTCTCTCTCTCTCTCTCACTCTCGGTGCGTGTTGCTCGGTGTGTTTGAGCGATACACGAAGAAGTATCACTTGACTTTTCATCAAGTCAAGTATGTTGTGACTCTTGTCAAACCATAAAAATATACACTACGAGCCATTCATTACTGAAGGCGCTTGCAAGACATCGAGAGCAGCAGCCTTTTATATCGTTAGTACACGAGTGTGCCGTTGCCGGTGATTATTTTGTGGTAACAACAGAAAAAAGAACACCAAAAGAAAGAACGAAGAAAGAAAAAAAAAAGTGAACGCAAACGAAAGAGATATGACCAAAAGAAGAGATGCCAAAGGAACGATGTTGTTAAAAACAAGAATGCAGAAAAAAAGCGCACGATGTCGGAAGAAATGAATCCCAATAATAAGCTGTGAGAGAGTGCGAAACGATGAACAAACGCAAAGAATCAAATAGCAAATTCAAGAACAATTATACAGTAGTTGATTCGACGAAGATACGTCGTCGGTTCTTGTTGCCAACAAACACAGGAGACAGAGGCAGTGGTGGCGGTGTTAGCGACGGAGGCCCTCCATAGCACTTATGGCAATTGCAGATGAACGCTTCGCGCTCGCTCTCTTTTCATTTGTGCTACGCTACGATGCGCAATCGTAATTGTATGGTTTTCCATTCGAATGGTTCTATAATGACTTGTTTAGCTGAAAAAGGTGGAAGAGATTACACACCAAATACGGTCAATATGAATAAATGGCAACGAAGAAAATGTATAAATCTAAATAAAACGTCATTTAGCTGCGAAAATGAATGTCTTGCCGTATTCTTCTCACCGTTTTGGATTTTGGAGCGTTTGTGAATAAAACGCGGCCAACAACAACAACGACGCGATGCTTGGGAAACACCAACGGACAGACCGTATCCTGTGCGAAACAACTTGTTTATACTTTGGCTCGTTCACGTGTGCACACCATTTGGGAAAATCTTGATTTGGTGCCGATTCTCTGCATTATTAAAATTCTTTGTTCTCACATTTTAATGACAATTTATTGCCGTTCGTTGTGTTTCATTCGTTTCATCCGCTGGTGTTCATTCATAAATTGAATCGATACCGTTGCTCACGAAGCTTTAAAGCCCATCAAAAAAATCGTACTTTTTGTCAGGCATAATATCAATTACAGCCGCCCACTTTTATTGAATCGATAATCGGCTGGAAATCGTAATGATGAAATACTATGTGCAAAATGAAGCATATGTTTTTATTATTCGATCGGCCATAAAATCTCACACCGAATCGAATCGAATCGAAATCGACCGGCGCAATATTAAATTCAAATGTGAATATGGGCAACAGGCGCATATCGTTAAATGTAATTTCTGAAATGAACAAGCATTCAAACATGTTTTGTCGAAACATTAAACAACAAATAACACGAAATTGACTTTTTTTCCCCAATAACTTGATTAGTTTCGATTTCCCATGCGATCACTTCGCACTCTTCAAAAAAAAAAAACGAACATGTAATTTCTTTCTCGCTCTCTTTGAAAGGTTTTTGTTCTTTGCTGCACTGATTTGTCGTGTGTATGTGTCTTTCTATGGCTCCGAAACAATATAATTTCGAAAACACCTCGTACATGGACTTTGCCTGTTTCAAATATATTTGCTCGTTTCGTTTGCACGTTTGCAATTGCTTGTAATTATTCTTTAAATGTTTCCCGCGTATCAGTGTGTATCGATCAGTTAGTGACAATTTTTTTTTTGTTGCTATCTCTCTTCATCTGTCGAAATTCAGCAACTGTGGCAATCGATGGTAAATTGGTTTGGCACGATCTTGAGCACGTAAAATGCTTGTATGCAATGGTAACGAAAAAACGTTGTGATTTTATTTTGGGGCCGTAATTCACGCGGTTTCAATCAGATTTCGATTTTCGAGATTCAAATCAATCTAATTGTTTTTTTCCATTGCTACCGTTCATGACTTGGCAACAATAACAACAACAACAGCAACAACGATAACACACACATACATACAGCATTCAAATCTCAACTCTCGCTCACTGAGAATCGTGTGCGAACTGTGTAAACTTCAAATAAAAGTCATTAGATCATAGATATGAGCACCACATAAAAAATTACATAACACATTCGATCGATGCAACCGTGAAAATCCGTGGCTACTTGTTTCCCTCGGATATGAGCTCAATCGAATTGAATTTGAGAGTAGGCATGTGGTGTGTGTGTGTTTGTCTCTCTGTGACAAAATAAACCTTTCCTCAGCCCCAACACACACCAACCATCGAATGGTTATGTCAAAATAATCGTAAAATTAAATTGAATTCATTAAATGGCTTTAATTTCTGGATAGGAAAAATTAATTGATTTGTGTATATGTTTGCATAGCATCAAGTGATTATCGAGAGGCAGAAACATTTATCAAAATTAATTAAAAAGCGTCGATTTGCCGATCGCTTACATGATTTTTCATACCATAATGAAATGTTTGCGTGCAAATCGCTCAAGCGAATAGAAACACAACGGAATAAAAGGCCACTCTGGTTCCTGGTTCTTTTTCGTTTTGATAGAGATAGAGACTTGGCTAAATAACAAACCGGTAGAAAAACATAGCAGTGGATTTTGTGTCTCTCCCTTTTTCGCAGCCTTTGTAATTGGTCGGTTTTTTCCTCTTTCCATACATTTGTTTCTTCTTTCTTTTTTTTTTATCACCCATTACCACCTGTTTGGTGCACAAATGTGTTTCGAATTTAATTAAAAAACATTAATTGAATAGAATAAGTCAAAAAATACCGAGAGAAGTGCCTTTTAAATGAGCATTGGGCAAGTGGATGTATGTACAACGTACAAACACACACACACACACACACACCTCAGGATGATACATCGCACCAAATGGATACGCGCGCGCGTTTTCGCATTTGACCGATTCACAATTGTACCGGAAGCATTAAACACTCCGGTGATGGTACAGTTTTGCGCTTCTACGTGTAAAATACATTTTCAGTGAATGAAACGCAAATCATTATGTGCTCTCGTTTTTTAATTGCTTAATTTTTCTTGATCAATTAAACAGAGGAAACAACCCGGAAACCAGTTTAGAAAAAAGAATAAAAATAGCTTTGAAGAGTGGAAAAAAGGGAGGGAAGACACAGAAAGAAAGAGCACATTTTGGATGAGTTCTTATAGAACAATGTATGTCTAGTGCATTGCCTATTTCGCTGCATACATTTGAACTTCGGCTTTGAATATGCCTACGATTTTGGAATAGCTAAAGAACCGCTAGATGAAAACTCAAATGAAAAAAGATGAATAATAAAATGAAAGACGAAAATAAAAGCAAAGTTAAAGCATTTAAAACAATCAAATCGAAATTCTTTCGGAATATTATTCCCATCGCTCGAGCATTTTCTCATCACGACTCCGCCAAATATGGCATTTACTATGTGAAAATCATATCCATGCGAATAAAGTTGCCGCACAAAAAAGTGGTTTGAACGCAACAACAGCAAACAAACAAAAAAACGAAACCAAATTCAAACCGATATTAATGAGACAATTAGTTCTGTGCGGTGTGTGTGTGTGTGTGTGTGTGTGTCCGTTTTTCTTTCTTTTTCAAGTGTTAATAAAAGAGAATGTAGGCAAATATTCGCGTTTTTCTCCGGCGGATTCCTGACAAACGATGAGGTACTTGTACGGCAGTTCTGTGGCTGCTATTGATGATGAGTGAGCCGCTATGTGATATGCACTGTTTTTTGTGTGTGTGCGCGCGCATTCCCCAGGAAAATTATGATCGATTGCCCAAGAACGGCAGCGAATATTTCATGTTGTTCTTTGGCGCGAATAATTTCAAAAATGCAGCACATTTTTATAAAGGAGATGTGAATTTATGTGTTATGGGCTCACGTTCCATTCCGAAACATTGGATGCGCATATAAATCTACGTGACTGGAAACGACTAATACGACGACGACGACGGCACATTGCATTGATGCAACGAAGATTTGTTTGTTCTGTGCTCTTGCTATGCACAAAACTGAACACACATAAAAAAGCAACGCACAACAGCCACCGAGTACAAACACAATAACAACATCGACAACGACAACGAAAAAAATGCTTAAAGAAAATTATATATAATACAGAGATTTGTTCTGAAAGGAGCGTGTGCGTTAATAATGTCGAGCACGAAACATTTATTATTACAAATGCGAGATAGATGTTGGCCGTGTGGTGTACAATCGAAGATAAAACCGTTACTGAATTATATTGCAATTCATCTGGTAATTCCTCTTAATTACGATGAAGCAAAGGAAAAACAAAGCACAAACACACACATATACAGAACGAATGATTAAGATTACAAATTTTCTGTGTAAACAAATTATTATTGATGAATAT